AATTGTAGAGCTAAATGAGGGCTACAAAATAAAAAAAAGTTCATTAAAATTGAATTACTGGATGCTGAGATATTTACAAAAAACGATTTTTTGAGTTTCAGCAAAAAGGGGTGTTTTTGGCCAAAAGTCCATTATGACCTTTATATTAGATATCCGGGGTCCTAATAAATGTAATTTAGATCTGAAAATTCAAATTAATATGGAAAATATACAATAAATGATTTGTATTATAAATAAACTCATATTATCAGTTATGTATGTATTTTTGTTTTCTCTACAAAATTACTTACTATAGTAAAAAGGGCTTAAAACTTCATTTTTAACTTATATCATAAGAGTGTGTTCAAATGCAAGTACATTTAAATTTCAAACCCTTAAAATGATTAAAATTGGTTACAAAATAAGTTTAAATTTTTTTAATATTATTTAAAATTCTAAAATATATGCCTTACTTTTTATAATAAAGAATTAACACTTTATGCAAATAGATTGTAAGAATTTTTACAATAATAAGTGAAATGGAATTTGATCAAACTGAATAATTATCAGAATTTTAACAGAATAAGCAGTTTAAGGATAAAATGATTAAGTTTTAAAAATCAAATAGAAACTAGATTTAAGATCATAAAAATTTTTATTGTAACTTATTAAGCATATTAAAATTCAGAAAATTGATATTAATCTATTTACCATTATAAATTTCTTTATTTATTTATCTTTATTTACCTCATTTATTTCATTTACTACTTCAATTGCTTCATTTACTTCATTTACTTCTTTCTATATTAGTGGAAAAAAAAGAGTTATTAGAACAATGAAATTCAGAGAATAGAAAAACGATATACCTGTTCTTTCAACTTTGCCAGAATTTCTTTGCTTTACTTTCTTGTCTTTCTTTCTCTGAACCTAATTGGTTCTTCAAGCTCCTATTACAAAGAAAATAGTTGTTTATAGTTTGTAGTTTGCCTCATTACAACTAATACAAGAATAAATTGTACCAATGATTTCCTAGTGCAAATGAACAGAATACAAATACCTCCAATTAATGCAAATAACTCTTTGTTGAATGTAACACCTTGTTTAGATCTTTCAATACATATTATAGGTAATACAGAAAGTGGTACAGAAGATCGAATGATAGATGGTGTGGTAGGTGGTATAGCATATGGTATAGAAGGTGTGGAATGATGTACAAATACCGAGGAGAAACAATGCATAAATTCTGAGACAAAAATACACATGAAAATTAATGCAATGTATTTTCTTTCATAAAATATTTGATCGTTGTTTTTATCGTTATTACAGAACTTTGCGCCATATATACGAACAAAAAAGTCACTAAATAACAATAGTTTTTTGGACCAGATCTAAGGTTTAATTGAGAATGAGGCAATTTTTCTAAATTCAGTTAATAATTAATCATTATTAGTTTATTGATATAATAGTTATTATTAGCATGACAACAGTGATTTTATTATCCCCGATTTTTTATTTATATTTTCTAAACAACATAATATTTTGCACAATTCTCAATTGTACAGTATCCAATTGGGTCAATATTTGCTCCAATTCATGTAATTTTTTCCTTTCTGTTTCATTCAATAATTGTATATTAGAGCTCTTATTCAATTGTCGTAATGCATCTTCTTTTTCTTTCTTTTCTAGGAGTCTTGATGCTCCCGATTCATAATCAAATCTCACTTGATGTATATTAGCAAGTGTTTGATAATAATTATTCAACAATACATCATAACATTTTTTGTAATCTATATCCCATAGATAAAATGTTCTTGATGGTGCTCGATCTGCCGATCGTGGGACTTCCTGTAAAAAGATTCACGTATTTAGTTAATAACAAATATAAATTTCTTATGAACTTGACAGCTTGATAAATTACTTGTATTTGTACAAAACCCCCGCTCATTAATTCTGTAAGCTTTTGGCGAACTTCTAAAGGATTCATCAATGTTAAATTAACAATCTGAAAAAAATAAAATATTTAGTTTTAAAAAACTGATGAGGTACAAATTGTACAAATTAAAAAACTTACTGCTTTTTCATCCAATTTGCCTTTTTCGTATAAGAGTCTGACAATTCTCACTCCTTTAAATCCATATTTTTCCATAATGACATCTTCAAAAATCTCTTTTTTCAATGATTCACAAATTTCATTATATCGAATAATATACATTCCACCCATATTCTCATCTTTTTTACGTAATATATCATCATATTCCACAAGATAATCCAAATATTGTTTAATGAGAATTTCGCGAGTTACTCCTCTTCTTGCACTTTGCATTTGTTGATTAAATAAATCAGTCTTTTCAATGGGAACACTCCTAATAATTCTTTGAGCTGATATTGCATCTAACATATTTAAAATACATATAAATACGTATATTTATTTCAAGGACACAGATAAATCAAGATAATTTTATTTTATTCTTACATGATTCCACATCATTTGGCTTCTCATCATCTACAATGTCAAGAACTACTTTCGCTATAATACTTGCAGATTGATTAATTTGAGCCTTAACAAATTCAACAATTTGCTGTAGCACCCAAATATTAAAATTATTTCAGAAAAAATAATTATAACAGCTAATCAATATATGCTTTCACTTACTCTGTTTCTCGATTTAGCATTAAATTTTTCATAATTTACACGATAATATTGATTTTCCTAAAAGATAAGATTTTTGTTAACAAAAACAGAGTCAACGAATTCAATTGTTTATAACTTACATCAATTGGATCATCTCCTTTTTGTTGCTGTAAATTCAAATGGATTAGAAAGTAATTTATATATATATGTAAAAAAAAATATATTTAAACAAAAATTCAAACCTTTGTTGGTCGTTCAATACTATCAAAATTGATTTTACGTTTCTAAAAATTAGGATAAGGAAAATAAATAAATATGAAAATAAAAATCAAATTACAATACTATTAATATTATTAGCTTAGTCTCACCGATCCTGTTGCAACACTGTCATCATCAGTTACAGCCGCGAGTTTAGCTTTCACTTCAGCCATTTGTTTTTTCGTGGGAATAAAATTGGTGACTTTTGCTAATTCGCGTTGTTCAGCCTCTGATGCCTTATCCTGGGCAGATTTTGAATCTGTTATTCTTACTGGTGTAAGATAACGACTTTCCACAATTTTTTTAAACGTCATCTTTAACTCTTTGTATTCTATTAATGAAAGTATGATAATAAATTTAAAGGACGAGCATAAAAAAAAAAATTAATATAATAAATATTTGATTTACTCACTGTTCGTTCTCTTTGATATATTTCGATCTTCGATGAATCCATTGAACGTTCCCTTACCATTTAACAGCATATAATAAGTAATCTCATCAGCTCCCTATTACCATAAATAAAATAATAATAGATATAATTCTTCACAAATAAGTGAACATATTAACATAAATCAAATCAATGTACCCTATGTCTAACCCATTCATTTGCGTATTTTATATAAATTCCAAAATTAACTCTTGCTAAAACTTCATTTTGATCAATAGAATAATGAATTGAATTACGTGAACCTTCTCTAGTTTCTGACCAATATACTAAATTATGTTGAATTAGCACAAAGAGACATTCACGAGTCTTAGATACACTTTATTTTGAAAATTTAGAAATAAATACTAATGGAAGTCGACCTTTTTGTAATAACACTTTGGCCACTTCCTATAATGGATAAGAATCATTTGAGTAAGGGTGCAAAGATATTTTCGAGATATGTAATTTAAATACCTCAATAATTGGACCAAAATCGTCCCTAATTATATAACAACATAAGCGTAAAAGTGCTTGCGCCATTATAATATACAGAATTTTTCAAATCCACTTCAGTTAAGACTTCGTGATCACCATTGTTTATCAGCCAATTAAAATAATGTATTATTAACATCTAAAACTTAGTCATGATATACTTTCCTCGTTCATCCTTACCAACCTCAATAGCACGAAAGCTTTTATTTCGTGCAGATACAAGCAAAAAACCACGAGGACCACCGTCGGGGACACCTGGAGCAACAAATTATAACATTACCGATACTCGTTATGAAGTTATTAAACGTATCCTTTATGAATCCCCTAAAACAGATTTACCACATTTCACAGAGGAAGATCTTGAAAGACACGAAACTATTGAAAGAGCTTGGCAATTATACTTGCGTAATAAACGTGAAGCGAAAAGTAAAGAACTGGCAGCAAAATATAGAATGTTAAATGAAGCGAATATGCAACTTGAGCAAATAAGTAAAAATTTATTTTTATCGGCTCAGCTTGGTAATAAAACCATGTTGTTTCCCGGCCAAATGAAAATTCCTACAGAGACCCCTCCATTAAATGGATGGAACTACGATTACATTCCTTCTCCTAAACCTGACCAATCTCAAGAAAAAGAAAGTAAGAAAGAAGAGGGATAAATCTTAGAAGAAAGAGGATAATAATCAGGAAAATTTTTCAATTATTGGCTATCTTGTTAACCTATTGATCATTTAAAGCTTGAAGGGATGTTTCAATCATAAATAAATAAATAATATATTTTTTGTCCTTGCTTGTTACAATTCCATTAAGCAATATAAATCCAAATCCAACAAGGCTTGTAAAGTTTCTTTGTAGATATATTAATCTTGTTTTATATCTTTCACTTATAATAGATTTATTCAATTAAAAATTTATAAATACATTTCTAATAACGCTCTTGCATCTTTTGCGTTCAAATTAACATCCTTATTTCCTTGAAAAGCGATTTCCCATAAAACTGGACAAACATCGGGTCTAATAGAATAGATTCCACTTACAACCTGTGTAGATCTAAATATCATAAGTAAATACTTATGTCTGAGTGCTTTGACATCACCAGTCTAGAAAGAAAGAAAGAATGAATGAATATTTTGGAATCAAATATGTATATATAGATAATTACTTACCTTCATGTTTACTCCAGTGATACACATTCTTTCAGCCCATTCTCTCACTAATTTCATCCGTTCCACACACCCCAAAGTCGTTAATTGATTTGCAACTTCATCACTATAAAATTCTATGAATAATTTTACAACTAATTCTTGTATACTTAATCTCCAAGGTGTAATATTGATTAAATCAGTTATGACAGATCTCCATCTTTCAGAACAAAGTACACGAACTCTATGCGATTTAATAATTATAGTGACAATTGATTGATACATGGATTCATACATTTCTAAATGCATGAAATCATTATCATTACGAGGTAATGATGCATATATAAATGGTAGACATCGATGTACCGCAACCGGATCACCTTTATCAGTTCGCTCAACAATGTATTGACAAAAAATCTACATAATTATTAAATAATAATATATATATGTGTAAAATATTAATTTACTTAATTAACTTGTACAAAATACCTTTCTAGCAACATCACTTCGTCCTAATAAATGAGTTTCAGCTTCGCTAAACGATATCCAAGTAGGTGTGATCGGTATTTCTTGAGTATCAATTACATCTTGCGTCTTATCTTTACGGGCTCTGTTATTCTCTTTTGCTTCCCTTTGTCTATCATCGACCATCATAAATAATAAATGTCTATAAAAACCTTCATAAAATTCTTTTTCATCGAGATCTGGTAAATTATAATTTTTGCTAAATATCATTCGAAATGCATTAGACCCAAAATGCAGCATGGAAGTACACCATTTAAGAGTCGAAGTTTCTTTTTCTTTCTACATATTTTATTGAAAAATAGAAAATTAATGAGAAAAAGAAATCTCGCATACGTTCTTAAATTGCTCAAACAGTGAAAAACATAACAACCGTGATCATTTGCATTATGTTAGTGACAAGTCGCAATGGAATTCTTTCTGATGATTTATCAACATATTTTCGCAAAATTTCGATTATTCGGGCAGAAAAAACGCTTACAACAAGAGGATCTTGAAAAACCATCGCGAGTTCACTGGTAAATTGATAAATTGACTAATTTATTAACATAAATTTAAAATTAAACAATGTATAACTTACATTATGTCTCTGGAAGCAGTTTTTTTAGCTTTGTTGTACATGCTTATTAACTCATTTATACGATTTGAATCGAATCCTTTTCTTATTCCGGAATTTACGTACCAAATAAAATTAAACGAATGGTCTCGTTTACACATCTATTTTTTATAGACAAAATATAGATCGACATTAATTCATGCAATTATAAGTCACTTTACTTGATAATAATATTTACTTGAATTCGATCCGCCTTTTGCATTCCCATGAAAAAATCAAACCTAAAGGAACAAATCCTAGGCCACCCGTTGTCATTAAACCAAATTCTGATGAGGTTTAGCATTTCATCAAATAATATGTTGTTTTCACCAATCATGTCTATTATATCTTGGAGACCCTTATTGTTCATTCTAAACATCATTTAAAGAAAAATAACGATCAGAAAGAAAAAATAACGATCAGAAAGAAAAAATAACGATCAGAAAGAAAAAATAATGATTAGAAAGAAAAAGTAATGATTAGATCGTATAATTACTGTTATAATGCATATTATAACATATAACAAACCTGAAATCTAAAACTTCATTAATATTAGTGCCTCTCATTTCTCTGCTTAAAAAATATAAACTTTGATCTTTCAAATATTCTTCAAAAATTGGTGTCACATAGAGCCTGAACAGTGATTTATCGCGAGCGAATAATTCCCTTTTGATACTCATTGGTGCCTCCTATTACTTTGACAATGTGAAATAAATAAATAATATCAAACCCAGACTTGACTCTTAAAAAGTAGATATTGCCCTTACATCAACAATATTCGGATCATTCACTAGCCAATCATACATTTCCGAACTTATTCGGTCATGATATTTAACACAAGCAGTCAACACTGCCTTTCGTATTTCCTTCATAAACATAAATTGTGAAGCAATATTTATAAATTCATTAAATCTAAAAATTATAATTAGATTATAAAGGTAAATAACATTTAATAATTTTTGGATCAGTCAATATTTAAAAATCTATTAATACGCTCACTTTTCGACATTCCAAAACTCTTTATCAATCATTCTTACAAATGATTCTCCCAATTCTTCAACGAGAGCTTTATTAGCTTCATATCTTGACAAACCACTATGGTCAAGTAAAGGACGTACATTCTAAGTTTTCCCAAAAATTGTTTTAATTCTCATGCTCATCGGAGATTCTCTAAATTATAAACAAAAAAAGTACCTCAATATCTGGTATATCAATATTAGCTAAATATTGAACATCTTGAATTCCCGTTGTTAGGTTATCGGAGCCTGCTAAGACAGATGCTATCCTAGTCATTGATTCTCGACCTAGAGAAAGGTTATTAGCATCTGGTAAAGGAACGCGGTACGGAAATGACATGTTTCAAACTTCAGATAGAAACTAAAACTACTGTTAAAAGTCAGATAAGAATTGATCAATCCGCAGTGGTTTTTTTATGGGTCACCTCGTCGATCACGAACATAATTTGTAAAACTAGGTTAACTAGATTTAAAAAAAAAACCAAAATTAGCTAGCAAGAACGTCACCTGTTTGAGGGCTGGGGTGTAACGATCCACGCCCACTTCATCGCCTCTTTACCAAATTCAAATGGGCATGTTAATTAAGCGTGGGAATAAAAATTCAGGGGAAACTTTAAAACAATCTTTCACGTTGTGATGCTGCGGGATGACGGAACGGCCTTTAACTGCTAAGCGTCTAAGCGGTGTGATAATAGTGTACACGATCATATCACATTTAACAAATATAAAAATGTCTTTACTTCCATAGTTTTTTTTTCCATCCTTTGAAATAATATATTTACGAAAAAAAAAGAAATACTATGTCAACTCAACTTAGTCAAAAAGTTATTGAACTTGAATACGAATATGGTGCTCACAAGTTAGTACTTTTTTAACTTACTTTATAACTGTATTTAGTAATCACGTGACATATGAATGTTTATAAATCTACCAATCAAATTGAACTCCAATTTTTCAGTCAATAAAATCGCGTCGTATTATTATATATTTTTTTATTAAGGAAAATTGACTTTTTTTAGCTATCATCCATTGCCTGTGGTATTCTCCAGGGCTCAAGGTGCGTATGTTTGGGACCCAGAAGGCAACAAATATATGGACTTTTTGTGTGCCTATTCGGCAGTGAACCAAGGTCATTGTCATCCAAAGATAGTTGCAGCTCTTTGTGACCAAGCTCAAAAGCTAACTTTGAGTTCTAGGGCATTTTACAATGACGTGTTCGGTAGATATGCCAAATTTATAACTGAGGTATTAAAAAAAATTTTGATTTACGGCTTTTTTATAAGGGCCTTTTTAATTCTTTGCATTTTATTATTTAGTATTTTGGTTATGAAATGGTCTTGCCAATGAACACTGGTGCTGAAGCAGTCGAGACAGGAATCAAACTTGCACGTAAATGGGGATATCTCAAAAAGGGAATTCCAAAAAATAAAGCTATTGTGGTCTCCTGCAGGAATAATTTTCACGGTAGAACAACGACAATTATTTCCATGTCAACTGATTCAGATGCACGTGAAGGCTTTGGGCCTTACATGCCCTGTGTAGGACCAGTTTGTCCTGCTACTGGACGTAGTGTGGATTATAATTCTATTAAGGATTTAGAAGATGCTTTTGAGGCACATGGTCCTCATATAGCTGCCTTTTTAGTAGAACCAATTCAAGGTGAAGCTGGGTAAGTAAAAGACTATTTTTTTATCCGTTATATGAATTTTTTCAATGTATATATATTTTAACATTTCAATTTACTATCAACAGTATCATCGTCCCAGACGATGGATATTTAAAAAAAGCATACGATTTATGCAAAAAGCACAATATTTTATTAATTGCTGATGAAGTTCAAACGGGCTTAGCTCGTACGGGTAAGTTGCTTTGTCAAGAACATGACGAGGTTCGAGCGGATATTGTCATACTTGGTAAAGCACTTTCAGGCGGCGTTTACCCAATATCAGCAGTCCTTACTAGTAAGGATATTATGTTATGCATTAAACCTGGTGAACATGGTTCAACGTATGGAGGAAATCCGTTGGGTTGTGCGGTTGCGATTGCAGCCCTGGAAGTAATTAAAGAAGAGAGTCTTGTAGAGAAAGCAGCTGTGTTAGGGGAAAAATTCCGTTCAGCCCTTCGCAAGATTGATTCTCCATTAATCCAAACTGTACGGGGAAAGGGCTTATTAAACGCTCTAGTAATTGATGAAACCAAGTCGGACAAGACAGCTTGGCAGCTGTGCTTATTACTCAAATCACGAGGGTTGTTAGCAAAACCCACTCATAAAAATATTATCCGCCTCGCTCCTGTGTTAAGTATTACTGAAGAAGAATTAATGCAAGGAGTTAAAATTATTGAGCAGGCACTTAAAGATATTATCAATATGAAAAGTGATAATATCCCAGGATATTTAGAGGATTCGAAATTAAATTTGCCTGATCAGTTTTGCGATGATTGAACCAATTCTCAATTAAATAAAAAGTCTATAATATTTTTAAATTTATCAAAAAAGTTTAATAAAAGAAGTAAAAGAACATTTTAATAAATATTATTTTTGTGGGCTAATTTTCAAATCATTTATCCGCTTTTTTAATCTGGTGTATACAGTACATATAAATTTTAATTATGCATAATACAAATGTTCATAAATTTTACAGAATATGTAATTCACGCACTGTGCGTTTAGTTTAATTAATAAACAATTAAAATAAAATATTTTGTAATACCAGAAAATAAGCTGACTGCCAAATCAATTAATAAAAGAAACCTTCAATTAAGAAAATAAAGTTAGCATAATCAAGGGAAAAATGAGATTTAAATTTAAGGTATTACATACCAATAATTTTACCGCCGGTGTGTTTACGTCTGGCTTCATGATGATCCATAATACCAGCACTTGTTGTTAACACTAAGCAAATTAAAATTAGAACAAATAATATATTTTTAATAAAGAATGATATATTATTAAAGCTTACCTAAATAACCGAATTGACGAGATGGTAATAAATTGTTAACCCATTTTTCAATCTCATCTAACTTAATGTTGAAACGAGGAGAAATAACACCACATTTATTTAAGCGACCATTTAAATGAATAACGAGTTTACCAGAACGATGGTCATCAATTTCCTCAAATTCGCCAATATATTCTATATTCAAAATATATATATATATATATATAAAAAAACATATTAATAATATTTAAGTATATATTTTGTTTAATGTGACCAAATATTAAACACCAAAATATTTATGACCAATAATAGATACTGGCGTGTAAGTATTTGGCTTTATTCTCTCGAAGTATTAAAAAACAAAAGTCTAGAGTAATTAAAAGTGACTTTTATCCAGTTATAACTCCGATGATTTTTAAAATTCAAATATAAAATATTTATGTACCGTGCTTTTGCATTACACGCAAGAACTTGACAATGACCTTCGAAGAAGGTCGAACAAGAACTTGGCGTTTGCCGCGTTTTTCAGCATTAACAATGTTATTAAGACAATCGTTCTAAAACAAATAATAATTATTAATTAAATGAAACATTTAATCCATAATCACGCGAAATATGTTAAAAAGAAATCAATTTAACATACCAAAACTGAAATTCTAACCATCTTGTCTTTTTGATGAATATAAGAACAGATTATGTCCTCAAAAGCTAAGGTTATTATAATATTCTAATTGATCAAAGTAAAATATCATAGTCCAATGATGGATATAATAAAGAAAAAAAAAAGAAAAAGAAAGCCATCATGAGTATCGCTCTTATTAACATTTTTAGTGAGCGAGTCAAGCAGCATAATGGCTGCATAAGGGTATCAATTTTTTCATAAATGATTCCTTTGCAGTTTAAGAAAGATAAATTACTATAAATTAATGTAGACTATATTTAAAACGTATGCTTCTTACAGAAAGAGCTCCAAATAAATCCAATGCAGCACACAAGATTTTTTTAATATATTTAAATAAATTCTGTAATGGATGAAAGATTTTTATTAGGTAAATGAATTTCTCACCTTGCTAAAGCGGTAACTAAAAGGAATGAGAAGATTACAATTCTTTTTTTTTTTTAAAAAAAATAATCTATCCAATCAAATTCACGTCTATCTATAAAATTTTGAATTAAGCTATGCACTAACACGTGAAAATGGCCGGTGACAAATAACGGGTGGCGAATAAGTTTTCACCTTTTTTTCAATAAAAAAAAAAAATCCAAGAAACGAAAATTTATAGTTGGTTTTTTTTGTTAAAATAAGCGGATTTGTTATTTTCAATGACTTCATTGGCAATTTCCCTGGAATGTAGTTTGAGTCATTTAAAGAGTTAATTCAGGCCAAATTTATGATGCCGGCTGGAATTACCCGATATTAATGTACGAACTGGCCGGAGTTAACGTTATAGCTATCACGTGCAAGTGCATAACTCCTAAAATTCGCCAGTTCGTACGTCTCGTACGTCACCCCCACTGATGCCCGATACATCACAAAAAATTTTTAGATCTATATATATACGTATGAGGGATTATCTGTTCGCTTTTTCTCTTAGTGAATCAGAATGCCGGTTGTTCACGTAGATAAAGAAGAATTTTACAAGGCTCTCGGAAAGGAATATTGTAATTTTTTTGTGACTCGAGAGTATTAATTTATTTCAGATATGCCACGAAAGTAAAATATACTGACATAATTATCAATTTTAAATCCTTTATTTTAGCCACGGATGAATTTAGTGAATTATGTTTCGACTTCGGTCTCGAGCTTGAAGAAGATGTATGTTTTATTTTTTATTGTGCTGAATTATCATAAATTATTGCTAAAAATTATGATAATGATTGTCGTTGGCCTAAGCTAGACCTCTGAAAAAGAGCTGGCTATCAGAGAAGTAGGTACAATCAAAGCCGAGGGTTTATCTGAAAAGCCTATCTTGAAAATTGAAATCCCCGCCAATAGGTAGATCATGAACGAAATTTATTACCTTTATTACTTTAAAAACTTTTTCATATATATATTTATCGATTAAACGAATATTATTAGGTATGACCTACTTTGTCACGAAGGCATTTCACGTGCATTTTTAATTTTCCAAGGAAAGGCAAAGCCACCCACTTACAAAGTGGTTGATCCTAAAGATGGGCAAATACAAATAACCGTAAAATCTGAAGTGAGTAAAAATCTAATTTATATGTTTACAAGTTGTTCACTGTATAAAAATAGAATCAATTACGTATGTAAACTTAATCATAATTAATTACATTATTATTATTTTAGACTGCGCAAATTCGACCCCATGTTGTTGGCGCCATACTACGGGATATATCTTTTAACGAAAAAAATTATAGTAATTTTATCGAATTGCAAGAAAAGTTGCACATCAATCTCTGCAGGTAACTTTTACGACATATTTCCTATGCTTGTAAATGTGGTGCACCAGATAAAATTTTGATTTAATATAGAAAGAGAACGCTTGTTGCTATCGGAACACACGATTTAGACACACTTAAACCTCCTTTCACTTATGAGGCTCTTCCTCCAAAAAGCATTAAATTCGCACCGTTAAACCAACCTAAAGAATACGATGGGGAAGAATTGATGAAATTTTATGAGGTGTAAATATATTTTAAAATCAAACTATATTTGATGAAAAAATGATTTAATATTTAAATTTTGTGCTGTATTCTGTTAATTTAGGCTGATAAACATATCGGAAAATTTCTTCATATTATCCGTGATTCTCCTGTTTATCCTGTGATTTATGATACAAATCGGGTCGTTTGCTCTTTACCTCCAATCATCAACGGCGATCATTCAAAGATTACGTTGAACACAAAAAACGTTTTTATTGAATGTACTGCAACTGATTTAACAAAAGCAAAAATCGTATTAAATACAATTGTTACAATGTTTTCTGAATATTGTGCGGAACCCTTCACGTGAGTTAGTCCTCGGTTTACACTTTATTACTTGAATTAACTATTGATTTATTTATAATTGATCTATTAAAAGTATAGAACCTGTCGAAGTTATATATCCTGATGGAAAAATATGTACTTATCCTGATCTTTCACCTCGTTTCATAAAAGTTAAAGCTGATTATATTAATGCGTGCATAGGTGTAATGCTCACTTCTTCAGAAATTATAACGTACTTAAATCGCATGGCACTTTCTGCTAAATTGGTTAATGAAGCAGAACTTTCGGTGGAAATACCACCAACTAGAGCAGATATTTTACACGCATGTGATGTTATGGAAGATGTTGCTATAGCTCATGGATTTAATAATATTCCAAAAAAAACTCTGAAAATTATCAATTCGACTGGCAAAGCATTACCTATTAATAAATTAAGTGATTTGGTTAGAAAAGAAATTGCTTTATCAGGCTGGAGTGAAGTTTTACCTTTAATTTTGGTAATATTTTAATTTAACATATTTTTAAATACAATATAAATTTATTAAGTTTTTCTTTATATAGTGTTCACATGATGAGAACTTTGCGTATTTGAATAAAAAAGATGATAATTCTACGGCCGTGAAATTGGAAAATCCAAAAACTTTAGAATATCAAGTTGTTCGTTCTTCTCTTTTGCCAGGAATTTTAAAGACCGTTAGAGAAAATAAGAAGCATGCATTACCTATTAAAGTTTTCGAGGTTTCTGATATAGTTTTGAAAGATGATTCTTTGGAAAGGAAAACAAGGAATGAAAGACATGTTTGTGCTATTTATTGCGCAAAAGTTTCAGGATTTGAGGTAAAGATTTTTACTTCCACTTTATTTCTATTTCTTTTCGCAATTGACTTTTTTAATTACATGTGATATTTATAGCTTATTCATGGGCTTGTTAATCGTCTTATGGATATGCTTAATGTTAAACTTGTGTCTGTTAATGGAGATGATGTTGGATATTATATAAAAGAGTCAGAAAGTATGTTCATATCCATATTTGGTTATTTACAATATTGTACAATACTAATATATTTTCGATTTAATTAATAGATCCAACATATTTTCCTAATAGATGTGCAGATATTTTTCTACGTAGGTCTTCGAAGTCATCATCAATAGTAACGAGTAAAATTGGTAACTTTGGTATACTTCATCCTAATGTATTAGAAAAATTTGAAATAATGTATCCTTGTTCTGTCGTAGAATTTAATTTAGAAGAATTTATTTAATAATTATCAAAGAATTTATTTTTTTTACCAAAGCGTTAGTAAAAAATTCCACTACAGATTATTCTCATATGAATATTAAGTATTCGTTAAAATTAAATTATACTAATTTTTTAGCTTCAAAAAAGCCTTTCAAATGTTGCAATTGCCATAGGCATGTAAATCCAAGAACAACCAATTGTGCTATAGTCCAATATACTACACGTGAATTAGTAAGTTCGGATTGATCACGGAATTCAGCCTCGCGTTCCTAATAAAGAAATGTTAAAATAAAATGTTTAAATAAAAATTTCTTGTAAATTTAGTTAATACTCACACGTTGATAACCTTGTTCCCTACGAATATCTGCAATACGGTGATTCAAGTCGCGTACTCTTTGTGCAAGATCTAAAAATAAACGAAAAATGAATAAACTTTGATTGTATAAAAATTCATAAAAAAATACCCACCACTAAAATGTTCTTTATCATTTTCTTCTTCGCTAGTTGTTTCTCCAATGACCATATCTAAATGTAATTTCTTCATATGATGATTTGAAATTAGATCAATTTTATATTTTAAACTCTGATAACAATGGTATATTATACTAACTATTTGGCTATTCGAAAACCAACCAGAAGAATTTGTAGATAAGCAGATTGCATGATCTCCCGATTCTGCAGCTGTGAAAGTGAATCTCCCGCGACTTGCTCCTTTTTGATTAATAATTCGATGCAATAGAGGTAATTCCTATTATTTAAAAGAAATTAATTAAATAAAATTTTTAAAAAAAATTGAATTAACTTGTGTATGATTACTTCAACAGTTATCTGTATTCCAAGTTGAGGATTTTCGATATATTGTTGTTGTGTATCAGACCATTCTTCAGCTTTATATGTACCTTTAAAGCAAATATATTTTATTTAACTTAATTTATTCCTAAATTATTAACCAAATACCGCCAATAATCTGTTTCTTACCAACAACAAGTGTGTCTCTAGGTAATTCTTCGAGAAAACATTTTTGTTCAGTTCCTTCCAAATAAAAATATAAAGACGTAGTTGGTTTAACTAAAATAAATAATACAATAGTATACAATAAGAAAAGGTTTATAACCCTTAAACGAGTTGAATACATCATTAATACCGAAAAAAATACAAAATCTACTTCAAACATTTATTAACAATCTTTTTATAACAGCTGTCGACTTTGGATTCGACAATATCCATATTTGATTTAGGCCAAATTACACAAGATTTAATTTGCAAATCCCAATTTATTACTGTGACTACATATTTGGTACTCGAAACGGATGTACATTCTATCTATTCGTGTAAAGTATCTATTCGTGTAAAATATTTATCGTTTAAGTATGAAAATTTGTTCTAATACTTTGTGATGCAGTAACTGAAATGAATATTAAATAATTTCTTCATTAAAAAAAAATTTAATTATGTACAAATAACGATTTATTTTCCATTGGAGATTGATTTTACAGGACTCGCAGCAAGTTCACGCTCATTAGGAACAAATTTCAAAGCTTCTCCATCGTATCTAAAAATAGACAAGTAATAAATAAACGCTAACTAGAAAAGTACTAATGTAGTATATAGATACCTATAATCAAAAAATAATTCAGATCCAGGTTCAAGGTCACATAAGGCGTATATTCCAATACGATGCTCGCCTTTAACTAAAGTGACTAATTTACAAGGTAAAAATGAATTAATGTAATTATATTAAAAAGTGAAATTTTTTACGTAGTATAAACGTACCGCGACAATATGCGTTTGGATCTTGTGAATGATTAATGAATCTAAATTTATTTCCTTTACGAGTCGCGTCTACAACAAATTCTATAGAAAAAGTTATTCGAAATTTTATATTTCAAATAAGTACACGAAAAGAAACATTTTAATTTAGATTACCTTTATTTAAGTTGAACAAAAAGCTTGTTCTTCGCTTATCGTAAATTTTACCACGGCGATCTGCTTCAGTTTGTGATATAACCTAAAAATTTGTAAAAATGAGTAAATAATACTAAAATTATAACAAGTAATTTATATATTTACTTCTCCGATATATTCTCCTAAATATTCATTTTTCTTAACATGTTCTCTTACGAAAAGACCCCAACCTGCCACCGTAGAAATACCGACAATAGTATGCTATATAAAGTGTAAATAGTTTTAAGCCAAATATATTAAATGTCAAATTGACTGATACTAACCTTGGCTTGCCTTCTCTGTATAGCGACATTTTTACACAAAGACCTTCCCATGTCTGTTTCGGACACCGAATGGCTTGTATTACACTCTAAGAATAATTAGGTAAATGAAATAAATCCATTTAATAACGCTTCTGTTAAAGGTTATTTGATAAATCAAAGGAAAATCAATATAATAATATAATACCAGAAGCTGTACATCCGCATAAATCTGGATCACATTCTCGGTAATTAGTAAAACATATACAACCACGATTACTGCATGTTTTTCCAAATCCATAACAATTACATCCAGGGAATCGTCGTGGACCTTTCAAGTAATACTATAAATTAGATATGATATAATATAATTAATACTATAAATTTAATGACTTACAATCGAGATCACAGTGACAGTATTTTTCGCATGGAACATTGCCTTTTTTGCAAGGACAATTAAAATCGCATGGACGACCAGGATGATCACAAGGATGATATTCCGAATGATTTTCTGCATCGATTACTAATTATACCGATGAATAATATGTTTCTTAAAATTAATTAAGGTTTAATGAAATGTGTGTGGGTATCATACCGAACAGATATAGGCTTTGACCCATCTGATCTTTTGAATTATTTTTCTTTTTTTTTCCTACTGCTTCTTCAATTATTATCTTTTGAATGGGCTAATCACGTTCTTTTCAAACTTTATCCGGTTTGAAGTATTTAACACGTACCAATTTTAGTCATAATCTTTCTGCTCTTCTTTTTCGCTTCATCTGAAGATGATCCAACCTCAACTTCCTGTTCTTTTTCGACTTCACCAAGTGCTCGAGATCGTCGATAGACCTAAATGATGAATGAATTTTTTAATCAATTACTAGATAATTTTTTGATTTTATATTTTACAAACCTGTTTACAATTTTTACTTGGAATGATATCAGCTATTTGACAATAATTCTTGCTTCCGATAAGTAATGCAGCCTTTCTAAATAATGCAATTTCGACATCGTTCCATTTATCATATGGTGAACGTGCCTCTCTTTTTAGATGCATATAACAATCCACTCCGCAAGGTTTATTTTTATCATTTAGTGGTCGAGGACGTTTTCTGTTTTCCGACGGTCTAAAATCAGTACCTAAAAATTCATAATTAATTAATATTAATATATTTTCTTGTTTCTAAACAATATATTAAATACACGAACCATGGAGTTTACAATCATACACATAACATCGTCGACACCATAAACTAGAATAAGAATGCATCATTAAGTTTACGTTGCTTTCACTTTTTGGTCTATTTAAAAAAAAAAAGAATTTTATATTATGTAAAGTTGATATGTAAATAAATCGTGAAGAAACAACTATATATCTATTACGATTCTATATCCATATCGCTTGAGTCATCTGGAGTACTCGTAGATTCAGTTGCAGATGATGGAGGTTCAAATTTGCGCGCATATTCCAAATATCTAATAAAGGAAATTTATTTAATTATAAAGATAAAACAACGGATTAAATTATCAGGATTTTTACTTGTGAAGTAACATCGTGATTTCTTTCCCCTTCAAAATTTTAGCAAGTGCGTTCGCAACAACTTCTACAATCTCTACATCATGATCATCAATCTCAATAGCACGATTAGCTGTCACTGATGATCGACCCATTCTTGAAGAAGTAGTAATTACTTCGCTTTGCTTAGGATCAATTTTAACAAGTGATTTTTCAACAAGTCCAACTGAAACATTGTTCTGGTTAAATATATGATGTAAAGTTCTCATGGCAATTTGCTCTCCTGTTATATTTGAGAAAATTTAATCCACTATTATAAATTTTGCTTAAACGATCAAAATTATTAACCTTCTGGATCTATAGAGTTCCTCCCAACGATACTATCTTCGTAAACATCAGAGTAATCAATATCTCCATCATCTTCACTATCTTCCCCAAAATAATAAAGATGTCTTAATACAGGATCATCTTCTGTCTAAAAAGGGTATAATAGGAAGTTTAGACATGTACAGAAAAAAATATCGTACATATATATTAATAAAATTACCTTCGAGCTTCTAATGATCGGGGTCCAAAAAGCGTATCTTGGAATTTGATTTTGTATAGGGACACTAGCAGCCTGACGCTTTTCATAACGTTTTTTGCGATGGCTAGCTGATAAAGAATCCTATTCGAAATTAAGAAGCTTTGTAAATCCTATATATTTTAATAAATTGAGAAAATTACTATGAATCACCGGTGGATCATCGCGAGTATCACGTGATCAATATATGTCACCCATTTTCTTTACAGTATGAAAAATCATATTTGTCACACATTATTCGTTACATGGTAGATTTCTTAATTCCGATTATATGGCGATCACATGATACTGGTGATTATCACCGACAGTGATAAATAACAAACTTTTTAAATAAACTACTTGAATATTTAAATCAATCTTTGCGGTAGGTTTCTTTTCCTTCGGAGATTTAGGTGATCCCGAACCAGTAGAACATCTTCCTTTTGAAACATATAAACTTTCAATTTCGGGATAAGGATCACTTTGAAATTTTGGGAATTTTGTAAGATGAATTTCATTTTCTTGAAATATTTTCATTACTTTTTCGCTATTTTCAAGTAGAGTAACCTTATATAAACGCGTGCCAAAAAAAAAAATTTTTGTAAAAAACTTGTATAAAAACGAAAACTTCAGTAAAGTGAAAAAAAACCTTGTTTTCTGACTGTTTCGAGCCATAATAGTCTTCACATGTTTTAAAATAATATTGCTGAACTTCATCTCTTAAAACAGATAAAGGTTTTACATGACGTTTACTCATCTTCTGCTTTATTTCACTAAAAAACGTCTTTGTAAAGAAGGGTGAGCGAAAATCTTGGTAAACAAACGAGCATTTTATAATTATCGCACCAATTAAAGATGCATGTTCTCCATGCAGTTTCGTTTGTTACACTGCATGTATATAATTCATAATTCATTGGACAGATATTTTGGTGTAATACGTGAATACGTGCCAAACAATAAAAGTCAAAACCTGAATTTATAATTTGTTGAACACGTAAAAGGTACAGTACTTAATACGAAATTTGTTTTTACTACATAGCAGATAGTCATTAAATTCGATCCATAATATTATAAAATAAAACAACGAATATGTTGCTCTATCCTTATCAGTTTAGTTTTTCTTAGAAATTTAGTCACATTAAAACTAAGCACGAAAATTTAAAATTTGAAGATCGGCCGTATATACTGTATACATACTATATCAATATTACCGGACGTAAAATTTATTATATTTATATATATCATGTAAAAAGAATAAGGATACAAAAAAAGAGGATCGTACAATATTTAAATTCATTATGTATATTTTAATTAATCTTCTTTCTCAACGTCAATCTCATTAAAATCATCATTTTCGAGGAAACTGTATGTATATATTTTAACACATCCATCTAGATTAATTAAAAAAGAAAGAATTTCTGATCTTAGTATTAATTCGCCAATTTGTATCTATCATAAAGTACTTTTATTCTACTAACCATCTGCACAAGTAAATAACAATGGTTTCCATGGATGAAAAATTACGTCTCTTACTTCTAAATCTACAAAAAAATTATTTGATTTTTCTAAAAAAAAAATCCAACAATTTAAATACTATTTTACTTACCATCATGATCTCTTAATATACCAGTAACTTGTCCATTTTTTAAATTGAATATAAATACACCACCGTCCATAGTTGGTGCAGCAAGATATCGCCCGTTTGAAGAAATCTTTATAAGCCATGAATTAGAATGATAACTATACTCAAAAATTAAATATACTAATAATTAAAGAACTAATAATTAAAAAATCTTATTATAAAAAATTATAAATGTATGTAAAAATATCTTACTCTTTGTGGTGATATCGTCTTATTTCTTCAAGATTAAATGATCCACCTTTTTTCGTTGGAAAATTTAACTTGTGTAATATACAAACATTAACTCTTGACGCTTTTCATTGAAAATAGGACAAACCAATTATTATTATGTCAATGTATTCATCTTCACCTTAAAAATTTTAATATTACCTATTTTACCACCTTCTGCGTCTAAAATTTCGACACCACGCGTAATAAGATAAGCGCTTTTTGGTTTTGATGATTTCTTTATTGCTTTACTACTACCCTCTTGTGCACTATCATTGTCATCTGAATCTCCTTCCAAAGATTCAACAGGATATATGAATTTGGCGCAGTCACAATATTGGGAATACATATTTCCAGAAAATGTTTGCACAAGCTTTAAAATAGAATCTCCTTTTCTTTAGAAAATACAATAGAAAAAATATCTATTAACATGATAGCAATTTTGTAATAATAAGTAAATACCTGTGCTGCTTCAAAATCATATAATCGAACATGTTCATCGGTAGCAGCCATGAAGTATCTGTTTCCAGTATTCGGAACAAATGAAACAGTGAACGCCATACAAGTTATACCATCTTCCATTCGTGTTTTGCTTATAAGAGTACTTGAAAGATTCCATGATATGTTAATTTAATATATATGCGTAAATAATAAGTGGAATTTTCATGAGAATTTTATTTACTCACGTCCAATCTTCTTGTAATTTCCATTTGATAATATAACCATCCTGACTGGTAGTTAGAAAATAAGGCTCTCCTTTGTACGTAATATTCTTTATACATAAAACTTCCTCAGAATGACCCTCGAGTCTTGCAATGACTTTTCCAGAAATTACATCAAAAATCTGTTTGACAACAGTATATATAATATAACTACTTTATGTCTAATAAATATACTTAAATGTGACACATATCACCGTTAACATTTACCTTCAAAGGACATGGTAGAATATGATTGTCATCATCTTCTTCAGACCATCGATTTCGGTCTTTCAACTTGCCACCAACAACCAGGTGTGTTTGATTATAAGTGAATTTACCGACAAAAAATTCGTCAATATTTTTTTCCTAAAAATAGCAACTAAAAAATATTAAGTTTCTGTGATATAATTAAATATTAACAACCTGATATACCTCAGTGTCTCTCAATTTTTGAATTAATTTGAATTCTCTTGTGTCCCAAATTCTTGCAGCTCCTACATTACAAAATGTTACGAGCATCGTTCCATCTGGTGATAAGGTCATTCCAGTAATTGGTCCTTAAAAGAAAATGCATAATAAATCAGTAATCGCTACAATAATATTTTACTGGCCAAATAAATGAATGTAATTACCCTGATCACGCACATCTACATTGATCAACTGAAGTTGATACTGAAAATTAAGATAATTTATCATTCCAGTATTACTTTCTGCATGAAATTGCCAGTAATTATCAGGATATGTGCTGGCAAGTTTATCAATATTGCATGGAACATATTGTGGCGCTTTTGATCCCTGTTTAAAAGTTATTATATGAATAATTTAGTGATCGGTGAATCAGCCAATTCACTATTTAAAATTAATAAGATAAATAAGATAAATACCTCTAATTTCTTCGTTTTTTTTGACTTTGTTGATAGTACAGCTTTCGATTTACCTTTGGAATTTGTAATTTCTTTACCCTTTGAGATACTACTGCCAGATTCCTTATTTTTTATTCTAAGTTTAATAATCGCTGTTTTCTTTTCCTGTTTTACTGATGATTCGTCACACGAATTATCGACTTCCTTCTTTTTATCTTTTTTACCCGTAGTAATTGTTTGAGTATCCTCTAAATTAGATTTTTCTCCTGCTCCTTCTATTTTAAGATTATCGGAAGTTGTTTCAATTTCTGGTTGTTGAAGTGGCTTAGTAGTTGCTTTATGATTTTTTTTATCTTTTTCGGATATTGTCTTTGCTTTTTTTTTCTTTGCTTCAAGTGCAGCTTGTCTTTCTGTTAATCGCGCCTGTTCTGTTAACAACTGTTCTTGTTTTCTCTTTGATAACGTTGAAGTACGTTGACTTCGTCTTAATGCCTACGATAAACAATAATATAAATTAAATAATATTATTTATTACAATATAATATCAAATACTCAAAAATGACGGTGAAAAACTTTTATTTCTTTTCAAAGAAGTTCTTTTGAATAATTAAACCTTACATTTTGCTCCCCCGACATTTTTTTTTTTTTTTTATTCCGCTTCAAATAAGAATTTATACCAAGAAAATTGTGTTTTTTTAAAGAAATTCGATCAAATAAAACGAAAAATAAAAAAAAATCGAAATAAAAAGTCTAGACAATCGAACTAAAGTGACATAAACGTTTTCGTAATTTACACGAAATTCTACACAAATTAGCCTTTGAATGCAATAAAATGGCCTTTGAATGCAAGAATTGCAAATTCGGATACTAAATGTCAAAACGCGTTCATTTTTAAATAATGCAGTTGTTTCACAGTAATTTAATCCACGTGATCAGGATAATTTTACGAGGTAATTTCCGTTGCTTTTTAGGTAAATGACGCGATCCAATTAATGTAAAAAGAATCGGAAATAATATTCAGTCAATTCATATTTTTCAAATATGGGAAAATGGTTGCGTAATTAACGCGTTAAAAATTTAATCTCTCGGTTGTCTAAGTGTAATATGTACTTTTTTTTATTAATTTTATTAATAGAATATTTTTTTAATTCTTTTTTTCTTCATTAACGTTTTTTTCTTTTTAATCAAAAAAAAAAAAAAAAAAAAAAAAAAAAAAAATAAAATAAAATTTTAAGCGAAAAAATAAAAATTTTAAAGAAATTATTATTAAACTAATTAATCAAAAGAAGTGATAAAATTGACCAGAAACTATATTACAGTAAGAAAAATCCTTTTTTTTTTTAGAAAAGAAAAAAAAGGAGATTTAAATAAAATTTCACCCAATTAATCAATCCCTTTTTCTCTATTTCCATACCAAAAGAAAAAAGAATCTACATTAAAATTAACATCCAAAACATAATAAAATAAAAATTTTTTTTTTTTAAAAAATAAATGGTGATCTGTACTAGGAAAAACTATCCCTTGCGCCATCAAATCCTTCAATATAATTATCATTATCTCTATTACTTCTAACTTGTCTAACTTCACCGATATCGCCTAATTCGCTCTCATTTTCGTCCATCCTTCTCATACTAGAATATCTTCTTGGTAGATTTTCAACGCTATTATTCAAACTTTGTCTTGATCTCTCATCTGATAATTGACTAGATGCCGGACTTTCTCCAAAGACCATTAATCCACCACCTTCTCTGCTTTCCAGATTATCACTTCCATTATTAATATCATCTAAAGTCGAATCAGTCGTATATGGTGGTTCACCTGCTATTGCTATACTTATACTCCGACTTGCACTTTCACTTCCGTTTCCGATAGTATTATTATATTCAGCAGAAGTGGGGGGTGTATTATCATCACCAACATTACCAACGAATTCTGCAACACAAACATTAGGAAAAGCACCTTCACTTCCTGTACTCCTATTTATCCCTACAGCCCATCCATCATCAAATCTTTGCTTAACTTCTATTATATCATTTAAAGATAATTCCAATTCATCAGGTAATTGTGCTGAATAAGGAAATAGCACAACTACTAAACTCACTTCTTCTCTTACACCAGAATCGGAGTTAGGTGAGGATATATGTCGAATTGATGTAGTTGATGAATTTGCTGTTCCCGTTAAAGGAGGCGAAGGCGTAGGTATACTTAAAGTTACATTTGGATTATAGTTATTTACATTTAAATTAAATCCTATATTTCTATTTCCTGTATTATTATACATATTATTATCATAATGAGAATTGTTATTAGTTCCACTCATAGCCAAATCAACACCTTCAGCACTTATGTTTGATAATAAACTTCCAGTACCAGTATTTGAAGGAGTATTGGGCGTTACGCTACTATGCGAACGTCTTCCAATCATTTCCGTTGATGCTCCGTATTGATTATGACCATCAACATTTGGAGGTCTGAAATAAAAATATGGAGTTGCAAAAAAACTGCTTCTATCTCCTTTTCCGTGTCGTTTTTTTACACAACAAAATATAATGACACCCAATACTAAACAACCTCCTACTATTGTACCCAACACTAGTGCTAATCTGCTCGCATTATTACTTTTGCCATCAAATGCTTCTATACCTGATGCGTTGTTAGGCAAATTTGATGGCGTTAAGATTGTCGGTGCAGAATCGCTTACCGATGGTGCATTCTGAAAACATTCTAATATATCTTTAGCCGTGTCACAACACGAATTTGAGTTATCGCTTTTGCAATATGAGCATAATCCATTTGTATCAAACTGAAATCCTAAATAAAGGAAATAGAAAAATTAACATCCGTTTGAATATCTCTTATCTCATTTCATACAACATACCACAATTAACTAATTCATTTTCTTCTCCAGAGATACAATTTTCAGAGTCGTCAGCGGAATTTTGAGGATTTTCACACCATCTATTCAAATCTTCCAATTTCTCATCAATATTAAAAATTATCTCAGTAGTGCAAACGTTAGGACTGTAAGATATTTCTAGTAAAGATGCTAGATGATCTTTACAAGTTCGTTTACACAATTTCCTTTCTTTTAACGAAGAATTATTACATATTTTACTTTGAGGTCCTTGCACAAGGTATGCACAAATTGTTGTCAGAGTATACCTTGCATAGACAGTAAAGCTTGATGCTATTTCAGAAGAGCACATTTCCGCATTTAAAGAAGAATTTGCATCGTCTTTATATTTCCACTTAATATATTGAGTATTTACATAATTCATAATTAATTCATCAAATATGGTTATATTTTCTGCATTCAATAGCCAATCAAAATTTGTATCAAAAATAGCTCCACTTGAGTTTTGAAAGGACGGTAATGATTGTGAAGAAGCTGAGGATATATAGTATTGTGAGAAAGCGGGACATGTTACTGTGTTAGTAAGTGGAAGGCATGGTGGTGCTTTTACTGCTTGAGAATAACTTGCTAATGGATAAAAAGTTAAAAGGATTATAAGGTTGAGGAGAATTATTTTGAATTTTAATTTTGATGACATTTCGTCAGTATAGGCATTTTTGATAGGAGTTATTAGTCGTTCAGTTTTAATAAAAAGGAGGGAGAGATAACTCTCAAAAATGGACACTCTTCTTAATTTCGGTTTACTAAAACTAAAAAATTAAAAGAACCATTAAAATTAGAATATATTGTTAACTGAATTGTTGTTTTATGTAAATGATTTTAATAACTTACTTTTTTGTCAATAAATTTTTATATTTTCATTGTTCGTTGTTCGAAATAATTTTATAATATATAAAAAAGTTATTATTATATATAAATATAAATATAAATACAAAAAAANAAAAAAAAAAAAAAAAAAAAATAAAGTAAAAAAAAAACAATAAAATAAAATAAAATAAAAAATAAAAATAAAAAAAAAATAAAAAACAAAAATAAAAAATAAAAAGTTTCAAATAAAATTATCTTTTTATTAATTTGATTAAAGGAAAAAATAAAAACATAATAAGTATTTCACTTTGCATACTGGCAAAAAATCCGGAATTTTAATCTTTTTTTCTCACAAAAAAGATACAGCAAAACTATACTTTTATTACCTAGTTACTATACTTTAAAAAAGTTTAAGCTTACTTCACACATACATTAGCATACATACATTCAAACGACAATTCGGTTTGGACGATTTATGAGTATACGAAAAGGAAAAAAAGAAAAGGATCCTTTGAGAAAAGTTGGTGTAAATGATAATTAATTTAAAAAAATTAGCGGAAAAATATATAAAGAACAATTTAGTTCATCAGATCCTTATTAGGAAATGTTCCCTTGAGGCGATTGTGTTCGTGCTTGTAATACAACTTCATAACCGATTTCGATACACGGTCTTTTTAGTTTATAAAGATATATCTGATATTTATTATATTACAAAATAAGAAATTTGCGCGGGTTTACATACAATAAGAATAGAGACTTTACGCCGTAATTCAAGTTTACTAGACGAGGCTTTTAAAAATGTTATATTAGGAAATATCCGTAATTTCATCTTACGCAGCAAACTCTTTCATTTAAATTTTAAACTTAGTAAAGTAGAATTACAAAGTAAAAAATAAGTTGTTATCTGTTAATATATCTACTGAGAAAAACCTATCCTTTTTGTAAAAGTTGTTTTCCTTTTTGAAATTTAAAAAGGGATCCTTTTTTTCTTTACTGGTAAATCAACTGCGTATGCTTAAGAATTAAGAAAAGATTTGATTCGCTTGTACAACATGTATACAGATTGCTTTGTAATTTTGTTTCACAATATCTCTATAAATAAACACGTTATAATAAACGCGTATTTTTTTCTTTTTACCTGTTTTTTTTTAAAAAAAAAAAAATTATAATCTAATCAAAAATGAGCTTCGCGATTAATTTTATTATTGATCATCCTGATGACGAAAATCAAATAGAAAACTCATCTAATCTTAATAATTATTACTGGGATGATTTTTTTACTTCAGTTAATGAGATTTCAGATGAAGCTACTGGTCAAGTTATTCAACTTCAAGAATCAGAACAAAAAGAACTTATTCCTAAAGAACTTGTAATAGAACACTCTCCAATTCCTAAGCTCCCAATAAATTTACCTTCTCCTTCTCCTTTATTGGAAGCAACTAAACCACCTCCATCAATAATTTTAGCTTCACCTCCTTTACAACCACATTTATTATCATCAACAGCATCAAATATTTTACCGCCTATAATCCTACCTCCATTAACTCCCTTTGCTGTTAACATTCCTCCTCCAAAGAGAATAGAACTTCCAACTACTATTGCAATACCTCCTCCGGAAATATCAACTTCTCCTTTAAGAAAGTCCCCAAAATCACCTTTAAAATCTATAACACCAAAGTTAATTCAAAGAAATTCTAAAGTTAGGCCAGATGAACAAGAATTAACGCGTCCATCTTCGCCAAAATCTTCTATTATGAATATTAACAAAGTTGCTACTCCGGAATTTCCCTTAAATATACCGCCGGAACCAAAACCGGTGATTTTGATGAATTCACCCAAGGAAAATCCGGAAAAAGTAGGATCGTTGGTAGATGAGATGCAAGTAAATTTAATAGAAACTTCTGAAAATTCACAAAATTCCGAAGAAAATCCTACCTTCGAGAAACTTAAAAATAAACAAGCTTGGATTAAAAGGATGCGCTTGAAATTTAGCGTAAGACCGGAATTTGAGATTACACAAAATATTTTGCACCCAGATGGTTCTTTAAATCAAGAGTATGATATTAATTTTTTTTACTCATTAATTGTTTTACGTATGTAAGATAGTTTATTTGATTGAATTTATTATGCAAAGTTATTTTCGACCTTCAAAAGGATCGATTCCTCAAATACAGCGTAAATGGTCAGATAAGGAACGTGTTCTGCTTATTAAAGGTATAGAAAAATACGGCATTGGGCATTACAAGGAAATTTCCGATGAATTTTTGCCGGATTGGGTTTGTTGATGTTTATTTTATTATTTATTTACATATGAATTTTATTAATATTTATTATTGGAAATACATTTTCTTAAAGTCTGCACAAGATCTTCGCGTAAAAACGATGCGATTAATTGGAAGACAGAATTTACAACTTTATAAAGAGTGGAAAGGAGATGAAAATGCGATTAAAATTGAGTATGAGAAAAATAAAAATATTGGATTAAAAACAGGGATGTGGAAAGCTGGAACTTTAGTTTATGATGATAATGGAGTTGTCTTGAAGATGATTCAGGAAATGTCAGGTGATAGCAAAAAGAGGAAAAGAAATGGACAGGATAATTTGGAGGGAGAAGAAGAGATTGAAATTGATTAATTCTAATATTGTTATTATTCTGGAATCTGGATAAGACAATATTAACATTAAACATCACCATATATTCAAAAAAAATTGTTATATTATACTTAAAATAAAATAATTATCCATATCAGATTTAGATACAAGAGTTCCAAATTAAACAACAATAATAATTTAATATTTGTTGTACATACAAATTTATACAAAATAAATTCTATTCAACTATTAAAAGTTAAAGTTGAAAATAATAAAAGTACAAAGAAACAAAATAAATAAAAAAAAACTCTAACTTTTTTTTATTTAAAGGTAATTACGATAACCGCTTTCATCATCAGCACTCTGTGCAATCCAAAGTATAAAAGTACTAAATATGATGCGTGAAAAATCAATATATTAATAAATAAATAAAAGAAAAAGAATAATTTTAAATTATTATTTTACCTGAACATGATGGAAAGGTTTTGAATGATCAATGCAATTCCAAAATATGTATGTGGTGATTCAATTACAATATATTTAAGAATTAATATGGTCTAAAATTTAAAATAATTAGCAAGTATCAAACTGGATTTCAAATAAACCATAAATGTAAATAACCGATATAATAAAATCCAGTTTGACTTATACATACAAAAGATCCGGCAAGTCCACCAGCCAATGCAGCGAAGCCCACAAATAAGAACAGGCGAGCATACATATTAACTTCACCACCGTATCCGTAAGGTCCGTAAAAATTACCAGGCGTAAGATTAGATTTATTAATGAGATTAATACTATATTATTTATTTATTTATTTACAAAATATTTAAAACGTTACAAGAAAAAACACGAATCAAGTAAATTTTTTTTTTAGAATACAAATATATATTATTATTACGTAGGTTAAATTCGTTAAGGGTGTGAATTTTTTTTAATTCACGATTCTTGAGGAAAAAAAAACTTACATTATCATCCCAATTGTACTTAGAATTCCACATATCCAGTCCTCAAAATTCATTACAGGAACACTATCATCATCACTTTTCAAATAATTAGAATACACTACGGCATCAATAAAAAACCACCACCCTATTGCAAACTATTAATATATCAATAGATTAATGTCCGTATGTTCGTATGAAAAATATTTCAAGCACATAAATAACTTTAAAATTTCTCATACCAAGCCCCCGGAAATATAGACCCCAGCTTCTCGTTTCTTTTCTGTTAAATGAGGTAAGGCTGGGATCGGGATGAGGCAAACACGCTGCCTTTCATTATCAAATAATTGTGAATGTGACATTTGTGTTTCAACGAAAAATGGATATATTTTTTAAGAGATTCCCTATATTAAGCCTTTTATATTGTTTCAATATTAAGATACAGAAAATCCTACCATACTATATTAATAGTAGTATGGCACGCCAACTTGGACAAGTTAAATGCAAACTGTAAATCTTTTGATGCAAATCTTTAATAAAAAAAGAAATAAATTTCCTTAAAAAGGATAAATGTGATGTAACCTATTCTATAAAAGGAAAATTTTGTACTTTTAGATCGACTTTTCTTGGATGACACTTTATGACGGTGATCAGAAGGATCAGAAGATCAATTGATTTACTTAAAATTATAAATAGTATTTATTTTCTCTTCTAAATTCTAAAAAAAAAAGAAATGTTTACTACTAAAAAGCCATTTAAAGTATGTTAGCTCTCTTTTTTTTTGTTTCAAATTTCGAATATTAATTCTTGTTCTTAGACAGAATATGCCGTGGAAATGACTTGTAATTCATGCGTTGAGTCTGTGAAAAAAGTTTTAACTCAAATTCCGGGTAAATTTTGTTCGAGATTATAGACCTTCATCACCATATGAAGTATTTGTTAAATAATTAATTTTAAATATTTGTAGGAATTAACCGGTTTGATATTGACCTTAATGATCAAAAAGTCATTGTCGAAGGAACAGGTAGCGTAAAACTATAATTTAGATTTAATCAAACTTTTTGTATATTTATTTTTTGTCAATTGACAAATAGCGCCTCCTTCAGCTGTTTCAAAAAAATTAAAAGAAACAGGAAAGAAAGTAATTGTACGCGGGCAAGGCACTATTCAAGGTTAATTCTCATAAAAAAAAACTTCATTTCTCACGCGTAATTAAAATAATTGAAGAAAAATTTATTATTTAGGTCAGCACGCTGGTGCAGCAGTTTGCATTTTTGATAATTATACTTATATACCATTAGATCAAGGTGAAACTACACGATTAAAAAAACCACAAGGACTTGCTCGCTTAGTTCAAATAGACACCGATAATTGTTTGATTGATGTTACAATACAGGGGATATCTCCTGGGTATCACGGAATTCACATACATGAATTGGGAGACATTTCAAGAGGTTCTGAAAGTACCGGAAATCATTATAATCCAGATAATGTTGAACATGGAAATATTGAAAAAGGTCATGTTGGAGATCTTGGAAATATTTATGTTGATGAAAATGGTTGGGGAGATTTAGTGATCGAAAGTAATAGAGTTAAAGTATGGGATGTTATTGGGAGATCTATGGTCATTTCACATAAAAAAGATGATGAAGGAAAAGGAGATAACAAACAAAGTAAAATTGATGGAAATTCTGGTCCCGGAATTATTGCTGGAATTATTGCAAGATCTGCTGGTGCTTTTGAAAATACGAAGAAAGTATGTGCTTGTTCTGGTCAAACTCTTTGGGAAGAAGCTAGAATTTATGATAAGTTAAATAAGTAATGAGGTAAAGTATATGATAGTACTAATTTAATTTATTAAAAAAAAAAACTGAAATTTTTGCCTTTAAATGAAAATAAATATAACGACTTTGTTAATTTAAAAAACTTTGGAAATCAAAATTGCAGTAATATAATTCATATAATGCTGTAGAAAGATTTGCTAACGAGTTATCTAATAAATAACCCTTCCTCTAAGAATATTTAGAATCGTAATAGAACAATCAATCCTCTTGCAATTTTTTATTTTTATTTTGATAAACTTTCCAACATTCTTTAAAATTATTTAATTCTTTTTGGCATAATCTCCAATCTTTTTTGTCAGCAAAACATATCTGTAATTCTTCATTTTCTTTTGCGCAACCAGTTTTAATTATTCTTTCTTCATATTCATCAGGTTCATCTATAGTTTTAGTTATATTTTGCGGAGAGTGTGAAGATTTATTTTTTGCGTAATCCATAATTTATGTGCGAGTAAAAGTCTATTTTTTTTATCCAGGAAATTGTGCAACCTTACAATTAGAAAAATTTAAATAATTCAATTACTAAAATTCTCAATTTTACATTTTATCATGTGAGCCAATCAGAAATCAATAATAAATCATGTCATTTAAAATCATGTCATTTAAAATCATGTCATTTAATAATTTAATATTCATTGATGACTATTTTTAGTGTGGTCGGGCACTTCCCCTCCAGCGCTGTCAATTTTGGCGGTTTGGTTCACAGTTTTTTAGATTACGTTTGGCTTACGTACTGTGACTTTGTTCACGTGGAATATAAAAATAAAATAAAAAATTATTGGGTACTTTTTTGTAAAAAAATGGTTTTTCTTAGGAATTTGAAGCTGATTGATTGTTACTATAAGCTATTGTGTTGTTCGATTCCATTTTGGATACAGCATTCATTTAAATATTTTAATTATTGATCAGCTCGTACTCTCGTAGCTCATCTATCAATTAAATGTCAAATAAAATAATGATCGTTTGTTAGTAAGTAATTAAAGCGCATATGAAATGGTAAATCAAATAAAAATAATAAATTATTAACCATATGAAAATAAATCGTCAGTTTCCAAAAACAGCCTCATACATCAAGTTCCAGCGTTCATATGAAAAAATTGACACGAAAATTAACACATGTTTGTTTATGACTGATTAACACGATTAACACATGAATACTGACCTCATTCTGACGCGGACAAAAGTCTATTATTAGATTTAGTTAAATATTTCCCGAATACATTGAACACATCAATTCCCACGTTTGATTCTTTAATGATTCATTAATTGCTAATCCGTCACTCAAATGGTTCACTATCGTCGCCAAAAAAAAATCTTAACCATTTTTTTTTAAAACGAGATCTCTAACTAATTACTTAATTATTTACTGTAAAACGGGATAAAAACAGACTTTTGTCCGAAAATAGACGTGTCCACAAATAAAATGGGGGTTTTGGGGGTGGCAGATCTCGTAATAATCGCGTGAATCTTAAAATGAGCATCGGCTCGTGGTCTTTTTTTTTTTGCTATTTGGAATGATGAATAAGAAGTAAAATCCACTTTATAAAGGACGCGAAAAACCCCGTTTCATAAAAAAAAGAAAAAAATTTTGATTTTTTTTTTCATTCTTTCCTTGTATAAATAAATCAAAATGGCTGCTGCGCCAGTAAAAAAACCCAATGATTCTTCGCTTCCCAGTAGCTTTAACGATGATATACAAAAGCAAAAATACATTAATAAAAAACAATCCCATGCAGGTAATGAGGCTTGGTGGATAAATGGAGCTTTCGTTATCATCGTACATATAGTTTCACTTCTTTCATTTTTAACATATACTGCGGATAGAAAAACATGGGTTATGACCTTTGTGATATGTCAATTGGCAATGTTTGGGTAAACTATTAAAATTTTTTAATTATTTATAAATTGATATCAAGTTCCAAAATGTAATTCCTGTTCTGCTTTATTTTAAAAGAATTACTGTTGGATATCATCGATTATGGAGTCACCGAGCATACGAAGCCGAGCTTCCCTTGCGCGTTGTTTTAGGTTTATTAGGTACACTTGGATTCCAAGGATCCATCAAGTGGTGGGTTCTTCGCCACAGATTACATCATAGGTATGAATCATTACCTTTTCATATTTCTATACATAAACATAAATATTAATTTTTATCTCAATTTAGATGGACGGATACGGAACACGATCCCTATTCGGCAGCAAAAGGATTTTGGTTTTCCCACATGGGCTGGATTTTCAAAAGACCACATTACCCACGCTTGAAATTAGTTGACGCTTCTGATCTTAATGCAGATCCAGTAGTAAGATTCCAGCATAAATATTATGTACTTTTAGCGTTAAGCTGTGGATTAGGAATTCCTACTATGATCGCCTCGTTATGGGGAGATGCCCTCGGTGGATTCTTATACGGTGGTATCCTAAGTCGTACTATTATTTGGCACTCTACTTTTTGCATTAATAGTTTTGCACATTGGGCTGGCGAACAACTTTATTCTAATGAAGTTTCTGCACGTGGAAACTTATTACTTGCCATGATGACTCACGGTGAAGGGTATCACAACTTTGTAGGTTTGAAACGTTCACTACACTTCTTTTTAGATGTGCAAGCCTTATTAACATGAAATTTATTGTTTGTATACATAGCATCATGAATTCCCTAAAGATTTCCGAAATGGGTACCGTTTATGTGATTGGGATCCCTCAAAATGGATTATATTTACTCTACATAAATTAACAAATCAAGTTCCAAATGTATCTCGTGTTCCTGAAAATGAAGTTCGTAAAGCAATGGTAAATATGGAAATTATTAAAGCCCAAGAAAAATCTAAAAAATACGATTGGGGAATTGATCCATCCTCATTGCCCGTCATCACTTACGAGCAGTATAAACAAAAACAAGAACAAGAAGGAAAAGAATGGATATTAGTTGATGAATATGTGTTGGATGTTTCGTCATTTAAGGACGATCATCCTGGTGGTGCAAAAATTTTGAAGAATTATTATGGTAAAGACTCCACTAAAGCATTTCATGGTGGTTTGAATGATCATTCTAAAGCCGCCAATACCATGACGGCTATGTTTAGAGTTGCCAAAATCGAAAAGAGTCAGAAGGAAGAATAGGACAATATTACCAATTATATTTTTTAAACATATAATATCTTGTAACTTTATTTTAAACTAATAGTGTGATATCATTTAATCTAATAAACCAAATAAACCAAATATTTTTAATATTTCTATACAAATAAGACTATTCCAATATTTACCTTATATGTCTAAGTAAAAATGCCAAATCACGTGATTATACATGATAATTTCTACTTATGTGTGACATTACATCACTTTGAGAATTCAATTTTTTAAACCCGAATTTTTTCTTTTTTTTTCGTTAACTAAAAAATAAAATATGGATAATAGCGGAGAAAAAGACGATATTCAAGTTCCAGAATCTAAAAAAAATGAATTTAGTGGTTTTTTGAAAACTCTCTCTACTTTCACTGGCGATATCTACAGTCTAACGTGTCCCAGTTTTCTTTTATCAGGCGTTTCAACACTAGAATATGGGTAAGCCAAGCTACTTTCTTATATAAAAGTTAAATTTATTTTTAACTCGTTTAAAATTTTTAAACGATAGACAATATTGGGCAGACTATCCTGAATATTTTGCTGCTATCTCTCAACCAGCTGATGAATTGGAAAGAGCTGTTGCCGTGTTAAGATGGTATATAAGTACTTTATATGGTTCTTTTGCATCAAGAAAAGACAAAGATAAAATCGAAAAAAAGCCGTTCAATCCTATTCTTGGTAAGGTATTTTTTTTTTAGTTATCAAAGAAAATCAATCACGTATATATCTTCCCTTATATCCCTCTTGTTAAATTATAGGTGAACAATTTTTGGCAAGATGGGAAGATAGAAATGGATCCGGTGAAACTATATTGTCTTCAGAACAAGTAAGTCATCATCCACCAATCTCAGCAGTTTATCTTGAAAACCAAAAAGCAGGTGTTTCAGCAAATGGACATAGTATGTATATTGTTTATTTTACTTCTTACAGGAAATCATTTTTTAAGAGAGATCTTTACTTTTTTATTCAGCCGGACAGAAAAGTTCTTTCAAAGCAACTGCAGCTCGAATTGATGTCATACAAGTAGGTCATGTAATAGTTCGTATGAGAGATCATCCAGAGAAATATTTAATTACTTTGCCATCTTTACAAATTCTTGGATTATGGAGAGGGGCTCCTTATGTAGAATTGAGGTTTGTTAAAGTAATAAGGTTTATCGTTTTTTTTTTCAATTAATAAATTTGTAATTTTTTTTCTTTTATTTTATGTCCTTCTTTATAGCGGAACTAGCGTGATTCAATCTAATAATTATAATATTTTAATAGAATTTAGTGGAAAGGGATGGCTATCGGGGGATAAACACACTTTTAATGGAGTAGTGCGCAAAAATGGATCAAAAGAGCAACTTTATGTCGCTACTGGCACTTGGTCAGGGAAATCTAACTTAGAAAATTGTAGAACTAATGAAAAAACAATCTTCTTAGATATACAGAGCTCTCAAAGAGCGGTTCCTATAATTGCACCAGAAGAGGATCAAAATGCTTTGGAAAGTAGAAAATTGTGGAAATATGTATCACAAGCCATTGACTCGGGAGATTTTGCTACGGCTTCTAAACTAAAGGTATTGTGAAAAATTCTTTTTTTTTAAATATATATATATATATATATATAGAACTTTTTATTTATAATTTTTATTAATTTAATAGGGTGAGATTGAACAACGTCAGCGTGATAAAGTTAAAAATGGCGAAGAAACAATTCTTCAATACTTTGATTGGGTAGAAGATGATCAAGTGTTTTTAAACCTTAATAATTTAATTAATAACAAATATCAGATAGAAGAAAAATACAGGGAGAAAGGTAGCTGGGTATTTAAGAAGTTATCATTTGAACAATAATGATATTAATTTATAATTATTGGTTTAATTGTAAAATATACCTATTTGTGTTGCAACGCACCTCTTTTTATTCCTACGAATAAATTTGTCTGCAAAATTTCAAAATAAGGTAATAATCACACAGAAATACCATATATATTAAATATTTTCATATTTTGTTTTATTTCACTTCATTCTAAATAGAATTTATTTTTTTTTATATATTTTACTTAACTTAAAATCCTTAAAAATTGAGTTTTAAATGGGTTAAATTAACTAGTATTCTAACTATGTAGTACTTTTGAATTATAAAAGCAACATAATATAATAATTTTAAATATCTATTTAAATTCTAATAAATTTATTTGATTTTTATATTATTCTTTCTTTTATTTGACTTCACTTCTTAAAGAAAGTAGCATAACAATATACTTAATTGCCTTTATCATTACTAAATATAATTAACCATTCTCAAATTATAATTTTTATATTTTTATTTATACAGCTATTACTGGATATAATAAATCTGCTATAAAATGAGATTGCTATATTTTACAGTATTATCAAACTGTAATGTTATATTAATAATAATTTTCTAAATAACAAATTTATGTGAAACTTGATTTCAAAGACCAGTTATAAAAACTCACGGTCTCGTTTTCAATGTAAACAAGTTCACCATGTGCTTTTTTAAAATAATTTTGGTATTATGTGTAAAATTGGCATATTATTATAATTCACTATATGAACATATTATTATATCAACATCATTTTAATATCAACATTATTTTAATATCAGCAACATTATTTTAATATCAACATTATTTTAATATCAACAACGTTATTTTAATACCAACAACATTATTTTAATATCAACAACTTTATTTTATAACAAAGAAATCGTTCTCAAATAATAAAAGCCATATATTATTTTGGAATAATTGATTCCTATTTTGTTTCGTATTGCAATAAGCAGGTGACATTCTATAAATTTTATTTCATTAATAAAGAAATTTTTCTAAATATTATAATGCTATATACAAACCAAAATAAATTAATTCTATTAAACCAACTTATTAATGTGAATATAGTTAAAATATTTTTTTTTAAAAAAAAAAAATAATAAAAATAAAAAACAAAAAAAATAAAAAACTCACATCTAAAAATCATCAAAATTTTTATTCAACTTTATTTTGATTATCTTCATCTTTCTCATTTTCTTCATTTGGTGATGGCTGCTTAATTTGCGTTTGTGTGGATTGCTCTCCATAAGTTTCCGATTGTAAATGTTGATCCTCATTTTCAATCCTTGGTTGTTTTGACTTTTCTTTTTTCGAGGAAGTAAAATCCGTGCTCGAGCAACCTCTACAGAAAATAAAAGTTCAACACTTTCTAAAATAAGACAGAAAAAACAAAATAATAGAACTTTAAAAATTACCTGCAACCGCATAAAACACACTCAACTATGCGTCCTTCTTCCAATTTCGATTTTGGTACGCGACAGATACACGTAGTGCCAAAATTGGTATCTTTAGGTTGAATGCATCGTAAGCAACAGAGGCGTTCAAATCCCGGCTATAAACCAAGTTTAGGCAATAATTAGAACCATAAATGCATTAAACAATAATAATGAGTTTATATATACAAACCTTTTTCCATTTGGCAATCAAATTACCATCGGCATATCCATGTTTTAAACAGTAATCATAAACATCTTTTGAAATGGCCTCTCGTTTGTAGTATAGATCATAAATGTAACGTGATCTTTGATGGTGTAAACGAAAAATAGGCCACAAAGATTCCACACGACGTTTTCCTTCGTGTGGCTCATTTTCAGCTATATTTGTAAAGAAAATTAACTTGATAGAGAATAAATATAGCAAAATAGTAATAAACTAATATTACCGTCTTTCATTTTTCGGGCAAATTCTTGCAATGTTTCTTCGATGTCTTCAAAACCTTCTGGAGGTTTTTTTGTTCGTGAATGTCTAATTTTTGGCATCTTTTTTGTGAGAGTATTTTTATTTTACTATACATCACATATTAAAAGAAAATTCGATATCACGTGATAGTGCATGATTTGACAGTTGACACCCCCGTTAAAATGATATTTGATATTGCCCGACATTTACACATGTAAAAACGGTTTTATAATTATTGAATAACCATTTTTTTTTTATTATGTTATTGGTTTAAATATTTTGTCGACAGAAACAAAATTCAGAATTTATCATGTGACTAAATATGAAATTTTATGCTATTCTGGTTGTTCACGACCACGGCCATAACCACCTCTAAATTCAGGCTTAAAGTCACCGGAAGCTCCTTCTTTTTTGCCTTCACCATCATCACGACGACGATAATCACGATCACCACGACCTGCTGTACGATAAGAACTTCCATCTCTACCTTCTCCCTCTTTTTTACAAATTAATCATAAAATAATTAAATCGGAATTTATCATATTTAAATCAAATCATAACATAACACATTAACATACCAGGGCGTGGCCTTGCAGCGGGCCTAGGTTTCTTGAAAGTAGCTGGAACAATTTCTTGAGGCAGATGTAAATATTCTCTTAAATACTCAATGCCTTTATCTGTCAAAGAATAATAATAATATTGCCATGAGAATTGTGTATTCACAAATCCTCTTGAATTTAAGCTTTGGCAAGCTTTAATCACGTGTAAATTAGGTACTTCAATGTCTTGATGTTTAGGGGCATTGAAATCTTTCTTCGCAACTAAAACGCCCTCTGAAAATAATTATCATACAATTTTAGGTTAATAAAAGATAACAAATCAAACAATCAGAAACAATTTGAAAAAAAATTGACCCTTGAAAAGATTTTCATAGATCAGTTTGCGATTTTTCTTTGGAATAAGCATCTTCGTGTCTTATCTATTTATAATTATATTCAATTGATTTTTCGAATATAAAACTTCAAACGGATGGTTTTTTGATCAAAAAAAAAATGATTTTTTCTGTTACACGTTACACTAATTTAAACCAATCATATTTCTTGTTCTATATAATTGATCAACGTCGAAAAAATTATTTTTTTTGCCCTTAATAATGTCTGCGACATTTGCGAAAGCAGGCTCTTGGGATACTTTAGAGCCTAAATTGAGTCCTTTTATGTGGGTTGAAAGTCCGCATTTCTTATTAATATAGGTAGCAATTAACAATACTTTAATCTTCTTTATCTTTAGTTTGGAAACTTTAGCGACTTTAGGATTTTCAGAAATGACCCCTGTTCAAGCAAGTGCTATTCCATTGTTTATGAAAAATAAAGACGTAGTGATTGAGGTATGTTCAAAAGATATATTTATTATAAAGGTTTTATTTTAAACTATATGTACTGGTATAGGCTGTAACGGGCTCCGGTAAAACTCTTTCATTTGTTATTCCAATAATCGAAAAATTAACTCGAAAAAAACGACTAGCAAAAAATGAAATAGGTGCTATCGTTATTACTCCAACAAGGTAGATTTGAATTGAGTTACTTCTTTTTCTTTTGTTTAATAAAACATACTAAAATAATTAATAAATCGGTAAAGAGAACTTGCACAACAAATATCTTCAGTATTTTCTATATTTCTCAAAGATCCCTCTTTACCAAAACACGCACTTATCATCGGGGGTACCACTACACTTCATGACGATATTGCTGAGTTTAAAGAATTGGGCCCGGATATTCTTATTGGGACACCGGGACGACTGCGGGATTTATTAATTGGAAAAGGAAGCGAAAAAAGTGTGGTAAATACTAAAGAACTAGAAATACTAGTATTAGATGAAGCTGATAGATTATTAGATATGGGATTCTCGCAAACGTTAGATAATATCATTACACATTTACCAAAACAAAGACGAACAGGATTATTTTCTGCGACAATGACCGATTCTATTTCTGAGATCGTTCGTGTAGGATTAAGAAACCCAGTGAAAGTTGTTGTTAAAGTTGAAGATATTATCTCAAAGGATGAACAAAGGACACCGTTAACGTAAGATTTATAAATTTTGTCGAAACCCTTATATTTAATTTCTGAAAATTTTTTTTATTATAAAAGATTGGATATCGGATGTATAGTATGTGAACCACACCAAAAATTAGCTCAGCTGATACGAATAATAAACCGTGAAAAAACTACAAAAAAATGTATTGTCTATTATGCTACTTGTGCTTGTGTTGATTATTTTTATAAAGTATATATTTTAACTTTATTTCTTAATTAATTTAGAGAATTATAATAATTTAAAATTTATTTATAACTTTTTAGATATTAACAAAATTGTCACAATTAAAAGGAATATCTATCCATTCGCTACATGGAAAAATGGATACAAAGAGACGAACAGCTACCTATCAGTCATTTATTAACCTTCCGACAACATCAAAGGCTCTTTTATTGTGTACCGATGTTGCCGCAAGAGGGTTAGATATGCCTGACGTTGATTTCATTATACAAATGGATCCACCACAAGACCCAAAAGTTTTTTCCCATCGTTGCGGTAGAACCGCAAGAGCTGGAAAAAAAGGAAAAGCTATCTTATTATTGGTTAAAGGAAGGGAAGAAGTTTACGTAGGTATGTTGTTATTATTTATTAAGCTTTACACTAAAGTTTTAATGATTTTACATGAATTACACATTATAATTTAGATTTTTTAAAAATCCGAAAAATTCCCGTACGGCTTCTTTCTTATATTTTATCTGATAATAGTAATACCATTGTAACGCAAGATACTATCGATGAAGAAAATGATAGTCTCTTGAAACAAGTTCAGGACATTGTTTTAGCGGATCGAGATTTACATGATAAGGTAGTTTGTGATAAACATTTGAATTAATCGACTTCTTTTATATTAATACTTTTTTTAAAAGGGCACGAAAGCCTTCGTTTCGTACGTTCGTTTCTATACAAAACATGACGCTAGTTACATATTTCGCTTGAAAGATTTAGATCTGGGTAAAGTTGCTAAAGGTTACGGTCTATTACGGGTAATTACGATGTTTATTATTTACGTTGATATTTTGTTCCTTAGTAATAGTTAATTGGAACTTTTTAGTTACCGAAAATGCCCGAATTAAAAGATTACAAAATTAATGACTTTGAAGAAAACTCCGTAAATGTACGTAAAACGTATTTGTTTCTTTTTTTTTTTCCTTTTAAATATAATTGGACTTATATGTTTTTTTTTTGTTTCTAGATGGATGAATATAAATATGCTGATAAATCACGCGAAAAAAAGAGAAGGCAAAAGTTAATAGAGGAAAAACTAAGATATGCCACGCAATCAGATAAGATACATAAACGTCGACAACTTCCAAAGGGTTCTTGGTCTGCTAAGAAATTAGCAAAGCAGCGCAAAGCGGAACGTAAATTTAAGAAAGCCAAAAAGAAAGAATTTCTTAAAAAAAGAAATGCTGATGATATGATTGACGATGAATGGAAAGAATTACAAAAAGAAGAACGATTAGCAAAGAAGTTAAAAAAGGGAAAAATCAAAAAAGAGGAATTTGAAAAAAGAAATAACGAGTTAGATTAGCTACCTAGTTCTAGTCGTAAATTCAACACGGTCGTGTGACCGTTAAACGTTGTCCGCATATTTATTGACGCAATGTAGACCTACAGAGAAGTGTCTTATGATGTTACCTAGTAAATAAACTAAATCACATGATTTTAATTAATTAAACTCTAAAGAGATTGTCGATACTACGATGCTACCATATTTTGGTTAACAAATAAACATTATAAGGATCTACAATTTTTTTTTATTTTTGGCGGGAAATAAAAATATAAATAGAAATGATCATAAAATCAAACATATAAATTTTAGCCTTATTTCAATTATTTCAAGAACGTTTACTAATGCCAATAGAAGATCCACGCTTACGTTTACGACGGGCTGCCCGCGAAGGTAACCTAGATCTTATAAAACGACTTCTTGCAAAAACAAACATGCAAAATCCTGACCCCGAAAATGGATGGTATGGAAATAATGCATCTATTATTTTTTACTGAGAAAAATACTCATAAATCTCTCTAAAGGACGACCTTAATGTATGCTACAAGTTGCAGACATGATTATGTCGTTGAATACCTTCTTCAACAAGGACATGAAGATTTAGAGCTTTCAAGAGTATGTCATTAAATATTATTTATATCATTTTTTACCAGCTTATTTATTAACCTTATAATACAAATTCTCTAAGGACTTTGAAAATAACACTATACTAATGATAGCTGCAAAATATAATTCTTTGGAGGTAATTATTAAAAGTCATTTTTGGCAATTATTATATATTACCTATTTTTCAATTTTTTCTTTTCCTGAAATTTCTCCGCACAGATTTTGAAAATATATGCTACACTTTTTCCTAGCAGTGTTAATATGGTTAATAAGCAAGGACAGACAGCTCTTATATTTGCTTCCAAACTTGGTAATCTTGATGCAATTAAAGTAGTTATTTGTTTTATAAGAGATTTTTTTTTTTTAATTTTTATTATTAATTATATTATTACATTATTTATAGTTATTGTTAGAATTTGATGCAGATATTAATCAAACAGATTTTGATGGGAATACTGCATTACATTAGTAAGTATTAATTAATTTAACTTTAATAATTCGATATTTAATTAATTAATTTTAATTATCATTCTTATTATTTTTAATTTAGTGCTGCAGCTTGGAATCAATTTCAAGTAAATATTATTATTTAGATGTTTGTTTTAATAAATACATTAAAAATATTATAATTTATTCTTTTATTTAAGGCAGTAACGATGCTAATTGAGCATGGTTGTCAATTTGCCAGCAAAAATCTTTCTGGATGGACTGCATTAGACTATTCATACTCAGTGGATATGAAGGCACATTTACAAGAATGTGCTCGTGCTTATCATGAAGAAACAAAAAATAACAGAAAACGCAACCTCAAAATTACAGTTGATTCAATTATATCACTTGATTCAATACCAGTAACAACTCGATCTGCCACCTTTCCATTAGCAAAAGCAAATATTGAATTAACACTGGAAAATAACAATCAAGGAAATTATTCCTATTCAAGTGGTTCTTTATCACCAAATGATTTGAATTTAATAAAAAGGAAAGAATCTTTACCATGGTAATTTATTTAAAATAATTAAACAATTATAGATTTTATAGATAATTTAGTTATAATTTAATCACAAAGTTTTAAGTAAAATATATAATATAGAATTAATATTTAAATTATTTAATTATTTTATATAATACAAATTATTAATATATAAAATAGAATTTTTGAAAACTTTATATAATAATATAAAAATGAGTAAATATATTAATATATTAAATTATTTTTACCCAATAAAATTTATTATTATTATTATTATTATTTATTAAGTAGTTTTTTTTTAATAATGTAATCCTGTTTATTTAAAATAAAGTTTAAAATACAAAATTTATACCCATTAATAAGGTTGCCTATCTAAACCTCTCCAAAATTCTACGATTAGTTTCTCCAAGATTTTACTATAGTTTTATTATAGTTTCGGCAAGGTTTCAGCAGTTTCAGCATTTATAATAAGTTTTGTCAGGTTTTGCTTTTCTCCAGAGTTTCGCCAACTTTTTAATAAAACTTTCATATAGTTTTGGCAAAGTTTCGCTATTTCGGCATTTCACCAACTTGCCAAAACCCCTAGTTTCTCCAGCAACCTTACCCATTAATAATAAGTACAAAGTAAATTATATACAAAATATAATAATATTGTTTAAATATCTTTTAAACCAAACTACCTTTGACCTTTCTAAATGGAAAAGGCTATACCTTTAAATCTGTTATAATAATAAAAAAATATTAAAATCCTTTTAATTTCTTTCAATTTGGAATATATAAGTATATCATATTAACCATCTATTACTATTTACTATTTACTATTTATTAATAAAATTATTTAACATATTATATTCTAAAAAAAAGAAACCCAAATATAACTGAAAACATCTAAATATATAATAAAAAACATCTAAATATATACAGAAAATGTAACAGATTTTGAAATAATTTATTTATGCTAGAATATTTTTTGTATATTTCTAGATGTTTTCTGTATATATCTAAATATTTTCAATTATATCTGTATATTTTCTGGTATACATGCTGCCAAAATAATTTGGAATGCCATAATTGAATTTGGGATTTTACTTATAATTACGGCAATCCAAAATAATTTGGGTGGCATGTATATTTTCTGGATTTTCTTTTTTATAGGATTATTTAATTTTACCAGTAATTTTATATTACTATAATATATTAATAAATAAATTTTACTAAAATTATTATTATATTTTTTGCAAAAACTATTATCAATTTCTTTTTATAATTCTATTAAATTAGCTATTAAATTTTATAATTATTAGTTGACTTAAATATACTTTAAATAATTTCATATATTAATAGTAATTATCAGTAATAAATTTATAATCTATGTTAATATTTTTTAAATTTTTAATTTTACTTAAAAGTATATCATAATACTAATATGATAATTATTATTACTACTAAACTTTATTTTTTTAACAAGTTATAAAATAATACTTTTATATACATAGTGCAGTTATTAAAGTAGCACTCTTTCATTAAGCTTAATTATAATTATACTGCAAACACTACTATTAATAGCATAAAAGTACAAAAATTACCAAATTATTTTAGCTATAATAACATGAAATAGATCTAGCGCAGACATATCACACATTTTATGTTACACGATTCAAATTATTATTTATACAGAAATATCACCAAATATTTTCAATTATATAGGTTTATAAATAGTGTAAGTTACTAGACTACACTATAATAAATTAGTATATATAATTAGACTATATATTTCAACAAAGGATTATAATATCCTTCTAATATTTTTTAAAAGATCATTAGAAGTTTCAGAATCCTATTTCATTATACTTTAAAAAGATGGTTTTGTCTTGATAGTCACTTTATAATATCACTAAAAATATAATATACTTTACTGTAAAAATATAATATACTAATAAATAGTCTGTCTAAATAGTAAAATTAAGGGTGCAATATCTTTGTATTAGTAGATCTATTGAAATAGATTTTAGACCAATTATAATATTCCTGAAATATTAGCTATATTAAATAAAAATTAGATTCAACTTCTAATTAGAATGAATATTAAATAATAACTCTAGTAATTAATAATCATCTTAAGGGATAAGTCTATATTTCTTTAATGTCTTCTGTCTAAAGTTGCCTGCTGAAACTCTACAGGCTATTATCGAAATATCAAAACTAAAACCTGTCGAAATGCCGAAATGCCAAAATAGGTTCGACATGTCGAAATTGTCAAAACCTAAAAATATTACGTTTCACATAATAACTCGGCATCCAATGATCTTAGAAAAATGCACCATAGCTCATTGGAATCATTTTATAATGACGAGTCTAATGGTAGTTAAATCATCTTTCTACTTTGCTAAAGTTATTACGGCCAAGTCTCCCTCTACTTCTTATGAAGCATCATCAGACTAGTATCCTATCATCCCCAAGGGGTAACCATACCACTAAGTACTTATTTTTCCTCAAGCAAACAGCACCATATATGAGGACATCCCCCATCAGGCCACATTTAAGGCTGATCTGAAACTAGGAATACACTGCCTATTCGTCCTTAAACCCATTGCATGATACTGGTACTCAATTTATTTTACAACCTTTAGAGAGCACCTACTTTCATGAAGGACTTTAAATCATCTTTCTACGATCACTAGATGCTGAGATATTGAGTGAAACGTCAAAAATTGGCATTTTGTATTTTGCGATACTGCGCCATTTGATGTTTCGCCTATTATCTTAGCATCCAGTTATCGTAAAAAGATGATTTAATCACCATTTGACTCATCATTATGAGACGATTCCAACGAGCTATGGTGCATCTTTCTACAATAATTGAATGCCGAGTTATTAAGTGAAATGTCAAATGGCGCAGTATCGCAAAATACAAAATGCTGATTTTTGACATTTCGCTTAATATCTCGGCATCTAGTGATTATAAAAAGATGATTTACCATTGCCATGTGCGCAGTCCTGTCCTTGAGGTCACTACTATACCTTAGGGGGACTTCCTGTCCAGGTGGTCACTCCACGATACCGCTTGGGATCAGTAATGGCTAGATAGTCGTCCTAGATGGTAAAGCTGAGGGTGCAATGTCTTAGTGGTAGTTTGACCTTCTGTTAGGTCTTAGACCAACCAAGGTGTTCGTGCATAAAACAGGTAGCATGGTTATGAAATTCGATTCCCTACTCTTTGGGTCCTGGTTGGTGATCCCTGGTGGTTGATACCCACCATAAGGGGTGATTCTGGACAGATGCCTGCTACTTCCTATCCAAGTGGTCACTACAAAGTATACCACTTGGGGTAAACAACTGTATGTACTATCAGTGCTAAATAATCGCGGGCTGTACACAGGTCGAAATTAGTTAAATAGGGTATCAATAGGTTATCAATAGGTTATCAATCGGCTATCAATAGGCTACCCTATTGGTAGCCTATTGAACTTGCGCCATAATCTGTCACCAATCGGGCAGGCTGATTGATAACCTATTGATAACCTATTAATACCTTATTGATAACCAATTTGATAAAAATACCAATAGGATACTAATAGGTTATCAATAAGTTATTAATTGGCTAACAATCAGCCTGCCCGATTGGTGACAGATTATGGCGCAAGTTCAATAGGCTACCAATAGGGTAGCCTATTGATAGCCGATTGATAACCTATTGATAATCTATTGATACCCTATTTAACTAATTTCGACCTGTGGTAGTAGCCTTTGAGTGAGACTTAGTACCTAAAATGGTGGTATGGAAGGGTACTAGATGGTTGATGCTACCTGTCGAAAGTCCTTCATGAAAGTAGGTGCTCTCTAAAGGTCGTAAAAATAAATTGAGTACCAGTATTATGCAATAGGTTTAAGGACGAGTAGGCAGTGTATTCCTAGCTTCAAATCGCCTTAAATGTGGCCTGATAGGGGATGTCCTTATATATGATGCTGTCTGCTTGAGGAAAAATAAGTACTCAGTGGTATGGTTACCCCTTGGAGATGATAGGATACTAGTCCGATGATGCTTCATAAGAAGTAAAGGGAGACTTGGCCGTAAAAACTTTAGCAAAATAAAAAGATGATTTAACCACCATTTGACTCTTCATTATGAGACAATTCTAACGAGCTATGATGCATCTTTCTACAATCATTGGATGCTGAGTTATTACATGAAATGTAATATTTTTAGGTTTTGACAATTTTGACATGTCGAAACTATTTCAGCATTTTGATAAATCAGAGAGCCAATGTTGAAATGTCAAAATAGTTTCGACAATTTCGACATGCCAAAACTCCTTAATTTCGGCAGGCAACTTTAGTTATATAACAAAATGTTATATAACATATATAACAGTTATATAATGGTTATATAATAATTAAGAGGTATTTTAAGGTACTGTACAGTTGACCTTCTTTATAGGCACCTCCCATATAAGAACTACCCTCCTTAAGGCACACATTTTTTAGTCCAGATTTTTTTATATATAAAATACCCCTTTTATAATTACTTTATTAGTTATAAGTACAATCACACCAAACGTCAGTCCCATATTATAGTGAATATATGTAAAATTCCCCTTGCATAAGCACACAAATCACGTAATTTATAAAATAACTGTGCGTTTCATTTTATTATTTTGTTGTTTTACCATGAGGAAAAATTTAAGTTTTTTATTTTTCAAAAATTCGATAATTTTTACATATAAACTTTTTTACTTAATTATTTTATATATACATGTATATATATATATATATATAATCACGTTTACTTAAAAATTTATATATGTGTGATTATATATTTAACCCTCACCAATAGGCACACCTCATTATAATCACACCATTGGATGGTCCCGAGGGGTGTGATTGTAGAGGGGGCTGACTGTATATAATTATTTTGTATAATATCTTACTATTTAATAATTATAAAAAAATAAAATATATATTATTAGATTTGTTTTATTAAGTTAAGATGAATTAAATGGTGACAATTTTATGCCACTAATATCAATATAA